GTTTTAAAAAGCAATCTGGGTGCCTGCCGTAGGTGCCCCTGGCCTCCAGGCCTAACCAATACTTAGACCCTGAGCAAAAGGCTGTCTGGGTTCCTGCCTAGATGCCCCCAGGCCTAAGCGGTACTTAGACCTTGAGCCGCTTATGCAGTCTGCACCTCTCAAAAAGGGTTATAGTGATCGTTTATGCATAGCAACGAATGAAGAGAATGAGCTAAGTCAAAATAGATCGGATCGAAACTTTGCATAGAAGTCCATCCTTGGTAAGCGACAAGAATAGGATTTTGAATCTTTGAAAAGAATCCTTCCCCTCCTGATGCTAAAAACGGGTACATGCTGCTTAAACATCCGCCTAAGCGCTAGGTCCGGCGCCCAGAGGCGCCTAGCACATTCTAAAACACTGTAAGTAATCAATGCTAACATAGCGGAAGACGATATATACCTTCACCGAGAAAAAAAATCCACTTAGGTCAACAATCTAATATTGCAGAGACATATAATTTTTCTCTTTTTCCTTTTTACTCTTTTCCTTTTCTCTTTTTTCCTGTGACTGTGCAAAGTTCCGTGGTCATGTGCAGGGTCTAGATTATGCATAATCTTCCTAGTTCCAGGTTCTTGCAATGAAATCTGATTCAAGTAGATTCTACAAGACAAGGTTCATGCTCGGACCACTCTTATAATCAAGTCCTGACTATGGGTAAAAAGGGTAAGTCCTTAAGAGTTATTGATGCAGCTGTGTATCTAACCCCAAAAAATGTCAGAAATTTAAGAGACAATAACCTTGTGGTGAAAACATTTTTATCATATTGCAGTAAGAAAAGAAAGAAACAATAAAACAGAATGTAAAAGAAAATCTCAACATACAGAATCTGCAGCAGCCTGTAGAGTAACATGATCGCCCCATTCCCCACTCCTGCTTTACAGTGGGAATCACATTAATATACATTCTCGCATCTCCGTTATGTTTCAAATATCTTGTATAGAATTAAAGAGATCATACTTTGACAGCTTTTTCAGATAGTCACCGTAAGCCATGGGGACATATCCCTCATAGTTCTCTGGGTGAGATTTAAGCTGGAAACAAAATCAAAAGAAACTTAGCAGCACATATCTCAAAAAATGAAGCAAATAAAATAGGCATGAAACAAAAGACATTACAGAGGAGAAAACCTAAACCTAATTGATGGAACACGCAGCATCCAAACTATGCTTACTAAATATAACTATTGATAAATGATGGCCAAACCTGATTGATAACCTGCTGCCGCACGAACTTGTGGTGTTCAGGAGTACGGTAAAATTGATCAGATAGAGCTCGGAACTGAACAAATGTAGAAAACAAGTGACACCAATTAACAAGCAGGAAAATTACAAAGACAAGAAAGACAAGGAAGCTAGTGGAGCACTTCAGGGAAATCATCATTAATGCTTGGAGAAAACAGAAAGAAAATCAAGTAACGAAGCTGGAAATGCAAGGAGTTATATGTGATTGTGAGTCTTAGGTAAGGATTAAAATAGCTAAGTGCTTTATATTTTCAGCTCAAGCCTTACCTAAGTGATCAAATAAGCTTTAGCCCTGGATTAAATGACCTATTAAATTTCAGCCCTTGGATCGTTTTACACCCTTGGACCATTAAGTAAGCCTACTATTTTCACATTATATAAAATATTTGGATTTCTAATTGTCAAATGATAACAAAGCAACACTAAAAGAACCTGAAAGCAGCTTAAACCAAACAAAACCATAGGTTAACAAACCTGACAGTTACCATCTCCTTGAACCTTAAGCTCGACCAGCTCATATAACTGTAATCTACAAGACAAATAGCAACATCAGTAGCAGAAAATAGAAACTGTAAAAGAGAACATGGAAAACTCAAGTTAATAAATTCTAAACAGCATACACGAAGGACAGCACATCATCATCATGACTAACGCAGATTTTAAAACTACGAATGACACTAGTGATGTATTCTGGCAAAGACATGGATGCTCAAAGTCTACACACAAAGATACAGCTAAAAGTATAGTTTATCTATCTGTGCATGCATGTGCATGTTGAATCAATGATTTGTCACAGGAGAACCTAAAAATCACAAGGGAAGAAATGAAGCATTTAGTTCAGTGTCATCTTACAACAAACGTATGATGACAATTATTTTATGCACAAGCTTTGAGACAGGGACACGCATGTGCATTGGAGACATATGACAAACAAATTCTTAGTAAGGCAAAGATATATGTACGTATGTATGTATGTGTGTATGTGTGTGTGTGTGTCGTGGAAAATCGAAGAAACAAGTAAAGCTATGCCTTTTCAGAATATGATAAGCATACCCAGTTCTTGACTGAAAAAATGTCAAAAGAAAAGGAAACGAGAAATTGGAGAGACAAGGTCAAAAGACAGCTCAGCAAGGGAAAGAAGAAATGACAAAGAAAGTAAAAAAAAAAAGAATGAGTAGAAAGAAAGGAAACCTTAGTACCTTATTAATGCAAATCATCCACTAAACAATATAAGCCATTAGATAACGGCTATCTTCAGTTTATTTGTTAAAGCCAATTACCACAGGTTATATAAGAGTAAACTATTAATGGAAAGGACAGAAATATTCTTTTCAGTTGACCCGTGATGTAGATATATAAAATTAAATCCCGTTAGAATAGTTATACATTTGCGCTTCAAATTATTTCTAAATTGTATAAGCAATTAGCATAGCAAGGATAGCATTGTTAATAATTGTTTCTTTTAAGATGCTATAAGTTATTTCCATTACACGCATAAGACGAACATACACGTCTAAACATACCATATTCTGACATCCAAGTTCGATGATTTCCATGTCCCCACACTCGTACTAGTGTTGCCAAGCAATACCAATATCTATCTTTCCCAACTAATAGGTAGAAACTGATTAAATTTTATCACATATGACAGCTGGCCAACGTACAGCTCAAGAGACAAGTGAGAAACATCAGAGCATAACCTACTTGAGATGGACTGAATGCTCAAGATTCCAGGCATTAATAAGCCAAACAAATATTTAGGTAAAAATTTCTCGATCCGCCCGTGTAGGAACTTGACCTCATGCTTATATATTAAGTTTACAGAGTATTGCATTACAATACAATTAAAATCAACAACTGATATGATTTCTATACTTTACTTCTTGGCAACAGTAATCATATTCAATAATATCAGTTACTATTGGTAGCTGACTGAATCCAAAATCGTTTAATTAAATACATGTACAAAGTTCAATATCTAATCAAATATCTATATTCATATCCATATCCACTGCATATGCCGAACAAAACCATCCACTATATTCTCTCGCTCTGTATACATCCCTTTTCTCAGTCAATTACACAAATCTTCCTCTATTTCCAATAAAAATAGAATTACCTTATTCGGAGAGCACTATTTTATTTCCTTTTGTTGTAAGTTCTTAAGCACAATTTGCTACAGTACCCAAACTGAAGCCATCGACCAACTCCGTCGTGTACTCAAGTGACATCAAACTCTGTTGAAACTTGAAGGTGAATCCTTGAGCTAGTCCAAAAAGAGAGGTGGAATCTTCATAAAATTAAAATTCAATTCCTCAAAAAAAATCTTTGGAAACATCATATTATATTTTTTTAGGACAACCTTCTTTTTTAAAGAAATGATAATAAAAAAATAGAAGTATATGCAAGAGTAAGAGATCAATCGTATCACTACACCAGTCTTAGCATTAATTACGATTTCAAACTTAAGTAGCTAAATATGTAAATTGGAGCTGTTAGCTTCTAATAGATTGTCACACTTCGTGCACCTTATTCATCAAAATCCAATTGATTAGTGACCATACAGATGTTCACTCACTCACCAGATAATATTCCATTGAACACAAGCTAGATAAGTGAATATTCCAGCAGAAGTACTTTCATAGTTGAAACCATAGAACACACACACGCACCCCTACAAAAGTATATATTCAAGAGTTTGCTTTATTGAACAGCATATGCACTGTGATCAACTTAATATTTAATACAATAATGGCAGCAGTACTATATCCTGAGGTCTTCAGATCCAACACAACATTTTCACTCGTGCTTTAAGATAAATTCCAGAAGGCAGTACCTGTCAAGAAGCCTCTGATGATCTGACGTAGCTTCATCCACAGATGGAATTTCTCCATTGATTCGTGGAACATGCTGTAGAGACGAATCAACATATCAGGGCAAGCTGGTTCTTATAAAACTCAAACAAACACACAAACAAAAAAGAAGTACTAGTGAGCTACGGCAGCACTACCATGACCAAAGCCTCATACCAAACTTTTGTGCTTTTGTACACAAATCCCATTAATACAATATATATAAAGCTCCATTAAAGAAGCATGCCTTCTGCTATATTGGCATTAAATAAATTCTTACTTTTCCCTTAAAAGATGCCAAATATTGCATTAAATAAACTGAGAAGAGCAGTAGCTATTAATACAATGGTACAGCTAGCAATATTACATATTTTTTGCAACAAATATCAGATGAAATCACATGGACATGTATCTAGTAAACAAGTGCATGTGTGCAAAGATGGAACAAAAATTCACACAAGCATACATATAGACAGAAGAAACATGTTCAAAACAATGGTGTCAAAAAAAATTAAGAAATTCAACTTTTTTCATTTTATTTTTTTCGAGGAACCTTGGCTTAGCACGCCAAGTAAATCAAAGCCCCCCCCCCCCCCCCCCAAAAAAAAAAAAAGAAAAAGAAAAGAAAAAAGCAGTCCAAACCCATATGAATAGCACAATTGTTGCAATGCCTAATCATTAGAAATTGGGGATAGTCATGTCATAGACAAGGATCAACCCTTAACCTTTTGAGCCAAGGCCCCAAGCCCCAACCACTAGGCCACAAATAAAGTAAACATGAAACAATAGAAGTTAATTCACGTAAAAAAAGCAATAAACAAAAACCTCTCGAGTATTTGACAAATAAAAAAGTTAAGGATGTTCCCCCATAAAGTTTCTACCACTACATCAAAGCTCAATTGTTCTAAGGATGGAGTATTATGCCTTTATATTGACACACTCTCGTAGATTGTGCATGGGCCACTTTTGCATACCAATATTTTCTAATCCTATCCACTTTATATGGTACACTTGACTCTAACGCCATTTTAAACCTGTGTAATCATATTAAACTCCGAGATTGTGTTTAAGGAGTTATTTTTACATTCTCATCCCACAGGTTGAGCGCTTTATTGACTAAAATCTGGGTGTTTTGCAGCAGTACTTTCTTTTTTTTGATTTTTTGAATCTAGACAACTTTGATAACATCTCAAAGCCTCTACAGCTGTACCAAAATTCCCAAGTTATGGGGAATCTTGATAGCATATAGAATTCTGTCTCAACAAAGCACGAGACAAATGCAAACACAAGTTAAAGGTGGTAGTCATTATAGATGAATATATCATATAATCGTAGGCTAAAGTCTCCTTTTGCGCTTTAAAATCATTATTTGCATTGTTCATATTTTAAAGATACAACATAATGATAGAAAAACAAATATATAAAGGTTAGAAAAGAGGAAATAAAGTACAACTAGGTCCACAGAAATGTTGAATTTAACTAGATAATAACTCGAGCAAATCCAGAAAAAAGTTATGCTCAGACTCACAGGAATAGAGACCATCTGATTCAATCTTTTGCCTAATTCACCTTCTAGAGCAGAGGAGTCATCATAAAGTTCAAACTCCTCCAATTCATATGGTATTTCACCTAACGTTGAACATGAACTAGAGGAGTCCACATCGCCTTCCACCCGAACACGCTCACTGGCTGTATGGACACGTGTATCATATTAGTAGAGGAGAAATGACAGGAATCTAACACATTGCACACTCAAATAAGCATGTCCAATCATCTATAAGTACCTGGATAGAAATCACTCATTGGTGGAATGAACCAGTCTTGTGTAAGAACAGATGCTTGGGAATGTTCTTCACCTGCATGTGAAGGACAAGTAGCTTCTGCAACAGCAAGTTGCGAAAATTCTTCCTGAAGAGCATGTGCGATAATCTCATCATTCTCTACACAAATATGGTCTGTACCAAAATTACCTTCTCTTGTATAACCCAAATCATAGAAGTGGGCATCATTTTGAGCAGTTGACCCACAGTAGCTGGTATTGGGATATGGTTCAACATGAAGAATGTCAAGACCCCAACGAAGAATATCAGGATCTTGATCATACATAATCATCAGCTTATGATAAATCTTCAACTAAAATATCCTGGAAGAACAACAGTACCTGCAATAAGCTGCCAAAGGGACACACATCAATTAATCTTAAAATCTTACACCACCTAAATATTTCTTAACACAGTTAAAGACGCCAAAAATACAGCGTAGAGTAAATTATCCACCAGAGGAAAAATTAACCATTGGGACCTCAGATAGCTTTAAAAGTCCACGTTTTCTTATTTCGGCTATCATTATTAGGAATGAAGAAAGGAGCCTGGGAAGCATTTAATGGTTAAAGCAGAGATATCCAAGATGCAGCATTGATCACAAATAGGTTCAAGGTTAACTTCAATTTACACTGGATTACTTCATTGTTTCTATTATTCATACTCTCCAGAAAATTAATATTTGTTCTCTCCAAACTAGAGGATGATTCCTTCTAAAATAAGATGGAAACTATGCTATTAAGGATAGTCATCATCCTAAGTCTATCCTAATAGAGAATAAGAAATGTGCAAAAAATGAAGTCATTATCCTCTGGTGATAACTTATAATCAACATATTTCTCAAAAGGAAGTCCTTCACTCTTCTACAAGATCAAGTTTTTGATGAAGCAAGCTGGCATACAAGGATAGCAGTGCATTAACTCCATACTACAAAGGGGATAACCATCTTACCTGTTAGATCTCAAAAAAATAGTCATGGATTATTTAAAAATTTTTAAAGAGTCCAAGTTATGGTCTACAAGATTCTGAAAAGGTATCAAGTATCGGTAAACTCTCCTAACAAATTACTTCAAGTGTGTCCACCCTGGAAATATGCCATAATTGGATTATTAGCCACTGATCTGTGAACGATAGATTCTTCCTCTTTTCGTAGCTGGCTCATACCACAAAACATTACATGTACATACAAGATTAATGAAAAGCGGTCGGAGCATGCTGCTTCTCAAGAGCAAAAGGAATAACTGTAAGTTTATGACCAAGAAGAGGTTATGGCAATTGACATGAGTATCAAATAAAATACAAACTATCTATTTGACTCTTGCTAAATTTGCTAAATTAACTCTAGAACAATTCAATCATCTGAACTCTAGAACTCTAGAACATGAACTCAATCTAAGATTGATATGACCAATTCAATCAACAATAATCCTTCTGAAACTCAATCACATATCTTAATGCAAAAAAAAATGAGTCTTTTCAGACACGATCTACCCCATTCTTCCTAAATTATTAACTAAGAATCTAAAATCAGGTGCTCCACTGATATATTTCGTTAATGAGAGGTGCTCTAATGATGAAATTCATCAGAGAAACACAAATAGCTAATGCTATTTAATATTATCGACCAAAAAGTTCATCAGAGCTCAAGAACATGAACTTAATCTAAGATTGATCCAATCAGTTCAATCAAACAACTATTGTTCTAAAACTCAATCAATCGCATATCAAGAAGCAAATACTACAGCACTGTCATAATTTAACTGTAAGAAGTAGAAATAAAAACAGAAAGAGACAATCTATTTCATTCTTCCTAAATTAACTAAGATCAAGCTCTCTACTGATGATATTCATCGGATTAGATATAAAGATTATCGGTCAAAAATCATCTGAACTCAAGAAGATGAATTTGATCTAAGAACGATCTGATCAATTCCTCTAAAACTCAATCAATCGCATATCCAGAATCAAAAGTCTAAAGCAGTATCACAATTGAACTAAGCGAGGTATCAATTTCTAATTAGATCGATGAAAACTATAATTGAATTCAACAACTTACTCGAGATCGACGCAATCCGAAAATGAAAAATCCGATGAAATTAAGAGAAAATTCTTGTTTCTGGTGGGGAAAAAAGAGAAGACATCCAGACGCCACGCAACAAAATGAGAGAGAGAACCGGGAGAAAGAGAAATCTCGCGGACGTCACGGATGAATAAGTCCGATTTAAGCGGCGCGGCTGTATCCTGCTTCGAGTCCACAAACACACTCCGCACCCACTCATGACCCGCTCACTGACATGCGGGTCCCACTCGCTCGGCATAAGGGGTGACGTCGCCGGCTCTATCCTCTCGCCAACGGTCCGTTGGTCGTGATTGGCGTTGGTTCCCGACCGCCCGATGTGACTGACGCGTGGACGGCTGAGATGCTTCAGGGACCTCTGTTTGTTTGTATCACGGGGAGAAAAGGGAATCTCTGCCAATATAGTATCAATCTGACGGTCCTCAGTGGGCGGGCCCCACCATCGTCCTCCCGATGCACGGCCGGTCTCCTGGCCCTCAGCCCAAGCGGAACGCCGGATTGTCACCATCAGTTCGATCCAGATCTAACGGCT